CAGTACGCGGGCCTCTCACTGTTGTGGCCTCTCCTGTTGCGGAGCACAGGCTCCGGACGCGCAGGCTCAGCGGCCATGGCTCACGGGCCCAGCCGCTCCATGGCATGTGGGATCTTCCCAGACCAGGGCACGAACCCGTGTCCCCTGCATTGGCAGGCAGACTCGCAACCACTGCACCACCAGGGAAGCCCATATGGCCTGTGTTTGAAACCTGGCTTTGTCATTTATTAGCTGGCAGAAATACTTAACCTTTCTGATCCTGTTTTTCTGTCTGTCTACAAGTATATTGACCTCCCTGGTTAGACACTTTTTTTTATATACATATAAATTTACTTTGTTTTATTTTTGGCTGCATTGGGTCTTCGTTGCTGCCCTTGGGCTTTTCTCTGGTTGCGGCCAGTAGGGGCTGTTCTTCGTCGTGGTGTGCAGGCTTCTCATTGTGGCGGCTTCTCTTGTGGCACACGGGCTCAGTAGTTGTGGCTTGTGGGCTCTAGAGCACAGGCTCTGTAATTGTGGTGCATGGGCTTAGTTGTTCCGCGGCATGTGGGATCTTCCCGGACCAGGGTTCGAACCCGTGTCTCCTGCATTGACAGGTGGATTCTTAACCACTGCAGCACCAGGGAAGCCCCAGACATATTTATATACTACAGATGTGTATAGGTATATAAATATGTACTCATGATTGTATATACATGAGTACTCATATGTTCATGTTTGCATACATATACATACATACTTTTAGCAAAATAAAGATCATACTGTTTTAAATCTTGTGGTTTTCACTTAGTTTTATGACTGTTTTCTTATGCCATTAAATATGCTTCAAACGCATTGTTCTTAATGACTGCATAGTGGTCCATTCTGTGAATGTACAAAATGTACTTACCAAATCCCCTATTGTAGTTTTATTCACTTCATTTCTGGAATTTTAATTAATGCTGCAATGAACATTCTTGCATATTTTTGTCTGGCATTCAGATAATTTTTTAAGGATAGATTTTTTTTTTTAATGGAATTACTGGGTCAAAGGGCATGTGCTTTTTAAAAATAAATTTATTTATTTATGGCTGCATTGGGTCTTTGCTGCTGCACGCAGGCTTTCTCTAGTTGCAGTGAGCGGGGGCTACTCTTTGTTGCAGTGCGTGGGCTTCTCATTGCAGTGGCTTCTCGTTGCGGAGCACAGGCTCTAGGCGTGTGGGTGTCAGTAGTTGTGGCTCTCGGGGTCTAGAGCTCAGGCTCAGCAGTTGTGGTGCACAGACTTAATTGCTCCGCGGCATGTGGGATCTTCCTGGAGCAGGGCTTGAACCCGTGCCCCCGGCATTGGCAGGCGGATTCTTAACCACTGCACCACCAGGGAAGTACGGCATGTGCTTTTTAAAGCATTTTGATACACATTTCCAAATTGCTTCCCAGAAAGGTTGTGCATATTTTATTTGGTAAGAAAATTTAGAATTAACTTGATTTGAAATTAGAGGGTTGCATGTTTATTTTTGTAAGTTGATTTTGCTTATAGGATTCATTTCAAAAATATGTATTGAATAACTACTATGTACAAGGTATTCATAGGCTCAGAGGATAGAGCAGTGAACAACTGACTATGATTCCTAACCTAATATAGAGTTTTCCTGTCTAGAGCAATTAGGATATTTGATAGTGGATTAAATCCTCTTTAGTTTTTCAGAATTGAATATATTAATTGGAAGAGAGGAGAAACGATACTTTAATGACCTATTCATGCTATCTAGGCTTTCTACTATCTACTCCTGCATAAATCTTCCTAGGGCCTATGTTGATGTACTTGTTTCATTTAAAAAATGCTGCTTTTCAGGCTCTGTCGTAGGCACAGAAGATCCATTGCTCTCCAGGAAACTTTAATCTGGTGTGTCTGGGTTATATCTGTAGTCGTGTCTGAAGATAAGCAGATAGTCAGGAGGCTCCCTCAAAGTCCCTCCCTATAACCCCCTGTTTCTACAATAGTTTATTTGGTTATATTTGAATTCCAAATCAGAAGTCATATTACCTTAAATTGCTGTTATTTTAACAAAATTAAGATCAGCTTCATGGATATTGCTCTTTAATTCCTAAACAGGTTGAATCATTTATTTTGGACCAAGAAGATCTGGATAACCCGGTGCTGAAAACAACATCAGAGATATTCTTATCAAGTACTGCAGAAGGAGCAGACTTACGCACTGTGGATCCAGAGACACAGGCACGACTAGAAGCATTGCTGGAAGCAGCAGGTACTTTATTTTTTGTTTTCTCTTTTTCATCTTTTTAAAAGACTCCAGGGAATACCCTGGCGGTTCAGTGGTTGGGACTCTGCGCCTTCACTGCCAAGGGCATGGGTTCGATCCCTGGTAGGGGAACTAAGATCCTGCAATCCGCGTGGCATGGCTGGAAAAAAAAAAAAGACAAAAAAAAACCCCCAAGACTCCATCGCTATACAAAGTTATAAAAGATTATCCCCAAATTATATATGTTATATAAAATTTGAAATCTGTAAAATTAGTTTTTTTTTAATTTCCTAAAGAAAATGTTCACATTTTATGTTTAAAAAATTCTTGGTTGAAAGTTCTCAGTGAGTGATTTCTAGGCTCAACACTAACTTTTTTTTTTTAATTGAAGCATAGTTGATTTACAATGTTGTGTTAGTTTCAGGTGTACAGCAAAGTGATTCAGTTTTACACATATATATATTCTTTTCCATTATGGTTTACTACAAGTTATTGAGTATAGTTCCCTGCTATACAGTAACATTTAACCATTTTTTAAAAATTTATTTATTTTATTTATTTTTAGCTGTGTTGGGTCTTCCTTGCTGTGCGTGGGATTTCTCTAGTTGCAGCGAGTGGGGGCTACTCTTCGTTGAGGCGCGCAGACTTCTCATTACGGTGGCTTCTCTTGTTGCGGAGCATGTGCTCTAGGCACGCAGGCTTCAGTAGTTGTGGCACATGGGTTCCATAGTTGCTGCTCGCGGGCTCTAGAGCTCAGGCTCAGTAGTTGTGGCGCACGGGCTTAGTTGTTCCACAGCACGTAGGATCTTCCCAGACCAGGGATCGAACCCGTGTCCCCTGCATTGGCAGGTGGATTCTCAACCACTGTGCCACTAGTGAAGTCCCAAGACATATATATAGTATGTTAGGAATGTGTTTACTTTGATGATTCTTTTTATTCCTTTAACTTTCTCCTCTTATGAAAAAGCATAGGTAAAATTTATAGCAGATTGACTTTTAGTCCATCTAATGTGTCTTTTTGGAACTGACCGAAACTTAAAATTAGATTGAACAAAACAATTTAGGTATCTAGCAGAAGATGGTTTAATTTAGAGCAGACGGTTTAATTTAAACCTTTTTTTAAAAAAGTTTCCATTGTAGGGGGCAGAGGTTTGATCCCTGGTTGGGGGACTAAGATCCTGCGTGCAGTGCAGTGTGGCCAAAAAAAAAAAATCACATTAGTAATTGCTTTGGTGTCCCGCCCTTCTTTGGATTTATTGTGAGTCTCCTACTTTTGATTTAGGAATAGTCTATGTAAGATTCCTGAAATAGGAGTTCCATGGCCACCCCATATATATATATATATATATATATATATATATATATGCATTTTTTTTTTTTACCTGTGCTTTAGAACCAGCTTAGAGCAGAGAGAAATGTGGAGAAAATGCATTTTTCTTCTCCATGTCTTCTCTGGACTAAGTTACTTTCCTTCCCTAAATCAAGCTTTGTTTACTGGTGATAGTACATCTCCTCTCTAGTTTAGGCTGACATTTCACTCATACTGTGAGTACTACTCTGAGACCCCTAATTAAGGATTTTAAACCTATTTCTCTTTTTTCTGGCCACCTCATGAGTCTCACTCAGGGACGGCTCTTTTCTGGTACATTGAGCATTTTTCTTTAGGTTCATGGTTAAGTATAAGTACTTACATACTTATACCTTATACAAGATACCTTAGAATTGCTTGCTTTTCTTACCTATATTGTGAGAGAGAAAATAAACATTGAAAATCATGTCTTCCAGGAGGTGTCAGAAATTACTGAATTTTAAAATTTTGTGTGTTTTGACAATTTAAACTCCAGGCATTGTTGGATATATTTATCCAAAGAAATTGTCAGATGTTTTTTAAAATGATGTACTCCTTTGAAGCCCTGTGCAAGTCAGTTGGCTTAATGAATACTTTTTTGTTCATTAGTATTTTCATTTGCTTTTTGGACATTGTGTTGAGCCTATAACATTTAAGACTTATGCATTGTTTTCAATTATGAGAATGTGTTAGACGTTACTAGACTTCTTAAGAAGATAGAATTCTTAATGCTATTTTAACCAAAAAAATTGAAGTTGAAAATATTTTTTCTTTAAGATTCTTTGAGATTTTTAAAGAAAATTAAGAATTAAGGGCATTTCAAGAAGAATTTTTAAAAAGTATTTTCTAAATCATAAATGTAATATATAAAATAGCTAAAACAATATGAAATGTATTAAGTAGATTTTAAAGCCTGCCCATTGTAAAGGTTTACATATACTTCCAGACTTTCCCTTGTAGTTATATAAATACATGTATATGTTTGAATATACATGATTTTTTTTAATGAAATATATCATATTATACAAATTATAATTTTCTTTTTTTCACTTAATTTATTGTGGCCATCCTTCCATAACAGGATATGTTGATCTTTCTCCTTCTTTAAGGGTAAGATAATATTCTGTTGCTTGGATGCACCACAATTTATTTTACCAATGGCTTATTGAAGGATTTTTACGTTATTTCCAATTTTTTTGATATCACAAATAATGCTGTAGTTCATATCCATGTATATCTATAACTTTTCTTGCTTGTGCAAGTATCTTCGTAGGACAGATTCCTAGAAAGTGATATTGCTGGGTCAGAGGATATTTTTGCATTCAAAATTTTGATCGCTTTTATCAAAGTGGTCCCTCAAGTTTATGCCAGTATACATTCCTATCAACAGCTTTCCTCAGTCTTCTTTTGGTCAATTTCATAGTTTGTGTTCATTCAATATTATCAATAAGTTATGCGGTAGCTCTTTATAAATGATATAAATTCATTGGGTGTTAATTTTTCCAGTTTTTATTTTGCCTTAACTTTATTTATGGTGTATTTAATTATATAGAAATTTTTATTGGAATTAAAAATGTTTAATATCACATTTACTAATTTTTTACTTTATATAGCTTTTGTGATTTGTTCTCATGCTTAGAAAAACCTCCTCTACATCAGCAACAGAAAAATACTACATTGGGCTTCCCTGGTGGCGCAGTGGTTGGGGGTCCGCCTGCTGATGCAGGGGAGGCGGGTTTGTGCCCCGGTCCCGGGGTGGGGGTCCCGCGTGCCGCGGAGCGGCTGGGCCCGTGAGCCGTGGCTGCTGGGCCTGCGCGTCCGGAGCCTGTGCTCCGCGGCGACAGAGGCCGCGGCAGTGAGGGGCCCGCGTACCACAAAAAAAAAGAAAAAGAAAAATACTACTAAGTATAAGAGTACTTTTCAGATTTCATTTAAGTCTACCTGGTATTTATTTTTGTAAATGGTGTGAATTTGAGATGTTACCTAATTTTCAAATAACCAGTTTCTGAACAATATTTATGAAATAAGCCCTCCTATATCCACTGATTTGAAATGTCACCTTTATCATGTATTGAATTCACAAATGATCTAAGTTCTTTTTTTGTTTGCCTCTATTACATATCCTTGATAGAATCATCTTTTTTCTTTGCAAGTATCATACTATCATACTGTTGTAATTGAATAGCATCACAATATATTTTTTATCTTATTGGGCAAGTTTCCCTTCCTTTTTTTTGTTCTGTAAATTTTTATTGACTGTTTCTCATTTTCAGCGGTAAGAGGTGGTGATATTATCAACAACATTTTGTTGCAGTAGTCACTGATTCCTCACTGAATCTAGAGAAAAAGATTTATTGGCAACTTAGACTTACCATATTGTGAGTTCTGTAAGGACAGGAACTATGTCTTATTCCTTTCTGTTTCCCTAATGTCTGGCACATCATAAGCACATAATAAATACTAAATATGAGAATTAATTTATTTTAATTTACACTCTTGCCCCAGAAAATGGTTCTAGGTGGCTATTCAATCAAAGGAAGAAACTGTTGGATTGTTTGTTTTAATATTACAGAATAGCCCCTTCATTAGTACTGAAAATAGATAGGATCCTATACTAGAGATCTTATGCTGTGATTGTACTTTGATAGAAATCTCATTCATTCATTACAGTAAGCATCATGTTAAGTTACATTTGGAGTTAGGTAGAGGACAAATTAGTATTACGTGCACTGTAAAGATGAAAAGACTAAAACATAGGTGTTATGCAGTGGCCTTTTGACATTAGTGACAAAATTGAAATTATCAGCTTTGCATATGGAGATTATGCCATTTTGCCCTAGAGAATAGTGTTTAGAAATGTAATTACAGTTTACACATTTATGCTTTTTCTTTCCCTGAACTGATTGATGCACACTGAAGGAATTGGCAAATTGTCAACTGCTGATGGTAAAGCCTTTGCAGATCCTGAGGTACTCCGAAGACTGACATCTTCAGTAAGTTGTGCACTGGATGAAGCTGCTGCTGCGCTGACACGGATGAGAGCGGAAAACAGCCACAATGCAGGACAAGTAGACACGTATGTGTTTAATGACTTCTGCTGGGTATTCAATTCAATATCTGGTTTTCATTTCTGAGGAAGTTACTTATTCTAAAGGTTATAGTAGGAAACTCTAAACTGACTGCCTGAGTAATAATAAATGAAATGGGTTGTTGATGCAATAGTCTAGGTCCATGTTACTCAAATATGGTCCATGGACTAGCAGCGTCAGCATCATAGAAATTCAGAATTTCAGACCCCATCTTGGATCTATTGAATCAGAATCTACCTTTGAACAAGAAACATTGGCTATTTGTATGCACATTAAAGTTTGAGATTCACTGATTTTGTTAGTCATTCTGCAGTAAAAATTTTACTTAGATTTTTACCTTCTATTTCATCTAGTCACCTCACTGTTAAAAAATAAAATTTTAAGACATAGGATTATATCCCAAATGTCTTTGGGAATCATTACATTAGTTTAAAAAATTGTGCATCTAATGCTGTATAAAGTTTATTTAAAATTTAATATGAGAGTATGTTAGGACATTTTGAAAGATAAAAATGACAGCTGTTTTCATATTTATTTGTTACCTTTCTGGCTTGGTTCACATACATGAAAAATTAGTATTGCAAACAAATATTCAAATAATTTTCTTCTTACCGTATCAGCATTTTTCTATATATGACTAACTGTATATATTTAATGTAACTCGTTGTCATAGGACCTTGAGTCTTTCTTTGTTGGTTTTGTTTTCAGTCGCAGTCTGGCGGAAGCTTGTTCAGATGGGGATGTGAATGCTGTTCGTAAATTGCTAGATGAAGGCAGAAGTGTAAATGAACATACAGAAGAAGGAGAAAGCCTGCTGTGTTTGGCTTGTTCAGCCGGGTATTATGAATTAGCACAAGTAAGCAGAAATAATCTTTAGTGATCAAAATTGTGGAAGGGTTTTGATGTTTTGTTTATTTTTATCATTAATAAAAGAAATTATCATTAGAAGCCAAGGTCTTTCCTTTTTGGCAGTAGGTAAAATAGAAACTGATACATAATTAGTTTTTGTTGTCTGTACACGCAACTTGGCACGGTCCGTTTTTTTCTGCCACTTACTCAAAAATAGTCCTAATGAATAAGAAAAACATAGAAATAATAATAATATTTTAAACTTGCCTTTAGAAATAATATACAAGTATAATGAAAGATATTGATTTATTTTCATTTCATCTAGATTATCCCAATTCTTTTAGTTTTTTTTTTTTTTTTCCTGTTAGAGCAATTTTGGGAAATAGTCATGTGTTTACCAGTTAGTTTGTGTCTTGTGAGTATAGTTTTGCTGTTCTCTTGCTAAATAATCCTGAGCATAACACTAATTCTTTGACAGGAGCAGTTAAATTGTATAATTGGATGGTTAATGTGATTACCTACTTTACTTAAAGATTACTGTGTAATGGTATTGTAAAATATAACATCTAACCAGGTGTTTTGAGCAGTGAACATCATTGGCATATTTTCCCAAAAGGTGATTATTTTTTATTTTTCCTTGCCTCCACTCTAAAAGAATATTTTCCCAGGTTCAGTATATTCTTTAGAAGTAATATTAATAGTAAGAATTGACAGTTTCTCTCTGTGTGCATATGTGTTTAAAGGTATTGCTTGCTATGCATGCTAATGTTGAAGACAGAGGGAATAAAGGAGATATAACCCCCCTAATGGCAGCATCCAGTGGAGGTTATTTAGATATTGTGAAATTATTACTTCTTCATGATGCAGATGTCAACTCCCAGTCTGCAACAGGTATGTAGAAAATGATGTGTTAATTTGAGGAAAAGAAATTGATATAAATAACTATAATCTGAGAGATAAAAATTTGATTCCTAGGGAAAACTGGTTGTAAACATACAGAAAAATCATAGCCCTTGTTTAGAATCTGTAAGTAAAATATAGATTAATTTTATATCTTTAAAAGTCTTTGAAATACTGTTACATTCTGTTTGGTCAAGATTGACAGTTTTGGGCTTCCCTGCTGGAGTAGTGGTTGAGAGTCCGCCTGCCAATGCAGGGGACACGGATTCATGCCCTGGTCCGGGAGGATCCCACATGCCTCGGAGCGGCTGGGCCCGTGGGCCATGGCCGCTGGGCCTGCGCGTCCGGAGCCTGTGCTCCGCAGCGGGAACGGCCGCGGCGGTGAGAGGCCTGTGTACCGCAAAAAAAAAAAAAAAAAAAAAAAGATTGACAGTTTTTTTGCTGGGGACAATTTCTTTTTTGCCACAATATATATAATGTACAAAGAGGCAAGTTTATGAACTGTATCTTTCACAATTCTTTATCTCATTTAAATACAACTCCCTTATATAGATTAACCTGAGTCAAAACCCCATAGAGTTTTTTCTGTCAAGTGTACAGAATGCATTTACTAATAAGATATTCTGTTGCAGCATGAAAGCTACTCTAGTAAGGTTCTTTATAAGCCTCGGTCATATGTCTTGAGTTATAGGTGTACATTTAGTAATGAGATTCCTTGGATTTAGTGAGGCAAGCACATGGTTTAAAATACAGTTTCAATAATGAAAGCATATCAGTCTTCCATACCATTAAGTATATATTAAATGTAGCCTAATTTATTTTTAAAACGACCATGACTTCTTAGAAAGGATTATAGGTTACTTTGCTGACCACTTTGTCTTAGTCGTAGTAATATTAATATCCTCCATGTCTGAGACTGTTAAACAGTTGAATTCTGAACAAATTGGGTTTGAAATGATAGTTTTCTTGCTGAACCTTTAAAACAGTCTTCTTCAGTCTCATACTGTTGGATGGTTAAACCATCTCCCTACCTCCTTTAATAAATAAATGTCCTCAAAACAAAATCAGGAAAGGAATAAGTGGCAAATCAGGGAATAATGACCTTTTAAATAAATTTTTATTTTGAAGGAATTATGCTGAGGGGGATTTATATCTGTCTCCCTGGGTCTCATAAATGTAGACTAAATGAATAAATGTGTAAAGATAAAGGAGAGGTAAAAGAAAATTAAGAAATGAATATACATAGAAAATGTTAAGTGTTTCTAAGTTGTACTGTGTTGAAAGAAAAAGCAATAACTTTGAGTGGTACATTAAAATATTTTATATTAAAATATGTTGGAAATGATTTTTCAAGATGGCACTTAATCTTATTTTACAAGCTAAGGAAATATGGAGAGAGGTAAATTGGTTTGTTTATAATAAGCCTTTTAATTAGTGAAAAAATTAAGATGATGCTTCTAACCAATACAACAAAAAAATGAGATAATAGTTCTAGTGGTTTATGTAAGGTAATTGAAGAGATAGAACTAGAGCAGTAGTATAATCGTAATTATATCAGTTTTATCATAATTTTTAATTTCTTTTTGTTCTTTTTTAGGAAACACTGCACTAACTTATGCCTGTGCTGGAGGATTTGTTGACATTGTGAAAGTGCTACTTAATGAAGGTGCAAATATAGAAGATCATAATGAAAATGGACATACCCCCTTAATGGAAGCAGCCAGTGCAGGTCATGTGGAAGTTGCAAGAGTTCTTCTAGACCATGGGGCAGGCATCAACACTCATTCTAACGAATTCAAAGAAAGTGCTCTTACACTTGCATGCTACAAAGGTACTCTATAAATATATATGTTTATAGGGTTTTTTCATAGCAACTTGGAATATTTAAATATTTGAATATTGAGTATTTGAGTTAATTTTATATTTCTTATACTTTCCCTGTGCTATAAAATTATCTAGCTTCTAAGAAATTATATAGAAAGTCCATTTTAGCATGTATTTCCTAAAGTATAGTTTCATAGTATATGTTTTTTTATTATTTTAATCCAAATTTATTCAACTAGCTATAAGGTCAACCAAAACTCTTAGCACAGACTTAGAGGGTTTCCATTCTTTAATAACTTTTGTTTTATATGATTTTTCCAACCTTTATTTTAAAAATAATACACACTCAAATAATAATAATCACACTTGATATAGAAAACCTGAAAAACACAGAATAGTGTAAAGAAGTTTTATAATGACATGTAATGCTACCATCTAAAGATTTAAAAAGCATGTAAACAATATTTTAGTATATTTACTTCTAGTTTGTTTTTTAAGTACATTTATAAACAAATATATATACACTTGACTCTTACAACATGGTTTTGAACTGCACAGGTTCACTTACATACAGACTTTTTTCAGTAAGTGTGTACTATAGTACTAAACAATCCAAAGTTGGTTGAATCCTCAGATGTGGAACTGTAATCAAAGATGGTAGCTAGGGCTCCAGCAATCCATATTCTAGGAAGGATGAAGAGGGTAAGGGCAAAATGAGGAATGCCTTCCAACTTAGTAAGCTACCTTTAAGGAGTCTTCCTAGAAGTTCTGCCTTATAAGTCCCTTTTACATCTCATTGGGTACACATAGCAGCAAGGGAGGCTGGAAAATGTAGTCTTTTAGTCAGGCATGTTGCCACTGAGATGAAATCAGGAGTTCTGTTATTAAGGAAAAATGAGAGAATGTATATTGGGTAGGAAACTAGCAATCTCTGCCAAATACATCAAATGGATGCACCATAATTGCCTATTGTTGGACACTTGCATTGTTCCCAGTTTTTCACTATTATTAAAAACACTGTGATAACATCCTTGTGCAGACATCTTTGCCTAATCTCTGATTATTTCCTTAGGATAAATTCCTGGAAGTGGAATTGCTGGGTCAAAGGGTATGGACATTTTTAAGGCTTTTGATACATATTGCCAAATTGCCTTCTAGAAAGGTTGAACCAATTTACACTCCCACCAGCAGTGTTTGAGAGTGCCCTTTACCCCACCCTACACCCTCACCAACACTGGGTATTATCATTCTTTTTAATATTTGCCATTTTGATAGTAAAAAATGGTGTCTTATTTTAATTTGCAATTTTTTAATAGGAAGGTTTAATATTTTTTTCATCAGTTTAATATTCATTTTCACTTCTTTTTTTGAATTACCATTTCATGTCCTTCATCCATTTTTCTACTGGAGTGTTTGTCTTTTTCTTATTGACTATTATAAAGCTTTTTATATACTAAATGTATCAAGAGGGTTGAAATTATTTTGAATGGAGTTTTCTCTGCCTGCTCATTGTCACAGTGAGTTTATGGTTATTATTTTAAAGCTTTTTTTCTGAAAAATATGATCCAAACATACTTTACCTGGCATTCTATTTGATTTCAGTGTTTTGATTTATATTTTATACAGAGTAAATCAAAGAATAAGTATTATTACTTTATTGCTTTACTTGAATTAATGTGCTTTGAACTAATTCAGTCTTTAAAACCTAGATAAGACCTTGATGAGAGCCTGCTTATTATTTTAGATTGGCTTTGTAAAATTGTCATTGATTTCTTTATTGAATGCAAAATAAGTTCTCTTGTAAATTTTTGTATAGACACCCGAAAGAAAAAGATTCCCTATTTTAATACTTATATATTAAATTGATAGTTCTTGAGAAATATAGTTTTAAAATTTATGTTCTTTTTTTAAAGGCCATTTGGATATGGTTCGCTTTCTGCTTGATGCTGGTGCAGATCAAGAGCACAAAACAGATGAGATGCACACTGCCTTAATGGAGGCTTGCATGGTAATTTTAAATTGCACTCACATGAGATTTTATGGGAAGAAAGGGTCATATGTGTTTCAGCCTTTGAGAATTATTTTTATTTTTTTGGAAAAATCATTATTATGAGATGGTAAAGATCTTGAAAATTTTGTACATTATCAGAGAGTGAAGGGGGAGTTTACGATGTTTTATCTTTTGATAGTAAATCTGTTAATGTAAGAAATCATACAAAAGGCAGGCTTGGCTATGTCATTTTCAACACACTGATGTACTTTTATTTTCTTCCCAATTCTTTCATTATGGTAAAATACACATATCATAAAATTTACCATGTTAACTATTTTTTAGAGTTATTAAGTATATGCATAATGCTGTGCAACCATCACTACCATCCATTTTCGGAACTCTTTTCATCTTTATAAAACTGAAACTCTGTATCCATTAAACAGCAACTTTCCATTCCCCACTTCTTCCTATTCCTTGTGATCACCATTCCACTTTTTATCTCTATGATTTTGACTACATTAAGTGCCTCATATAAGTGGAATCATACAATATTTGTCTTTTTGTGACTGACTTATTTCAGTTAGCATGATGTCCTCAGGTTCATCCGTGTTGTAGCATATGTCAGAATTTCCTTTGTTTTTTAAGGCTACATAATATTTTATTGTATGTACCACATTTTGCTTATCCATTTATCCACTGATGGACACTTGCATCGCCTCCATGCTTTAGCTATTGTGAATAATGCTGCTGTGAACACGTGTGTATAAATATCTGTTTGAGTCCTGTTTTCAGTTCTTTTGGATATATACCCCAAAGCGAGATGCCTTGATCATATGGTAATTGTTTTTAATGTTTTGAGGAACCACCACCATACTGTTTTCCACAGCAGGTGTACCATTTTATGTTCCCACCAGTAGTGTACGAGGGTTCCATTTTCTCCACATCCTCACCAACACTTGTTATTTTCTGGGTGTTGTTTTTTTTTTAACTTAATTTTTATTTTTTTGGCTGCAATGGGTCTTTGTTGCTGCGCGCGGGCTTTCTCTAGTTGAGCTGAGCGGGGGCTACTCTTCATTGTGGTGCACAGGCTTCTCATTGTGGTGGCTTCTCTTGTTGCAGAGCACGGGCTCTAGGCGCATGGGCTTCAGTAATTGTGGCACACAGACTCAGTAGTTGTGGCTCGTGGGCTCTAGAGTGCAGGCTCAGTAGTTGTGGTGCATGGGCTTAGTTGCTCCGGGGCGTGTGGGATCTTCCCGGACCAGAGCTCGAACCCATGTCCCCTGCATTTTAAGGCGGATTCTTATCCACTGTGCCACCAGGGAAGTCTCTTTCTTTTTTTTTTTTTTTTTTTCTGATAGTAATTATCCAGATGTTTATAGTTTTGATTTTCATTTTCCTCACTGTAGGTTTTATTTGCATTTCCCTAATGATTAGTGATATTGAGCATCTTTTCATGTGCTTATTGGCCATTTGTATATATTCTGGAGAAATGTCTATTCAAGTCATTTGCCCATTTTTTAATTAGCCTGTTTTTTGTTGATGAGTTTTAGGAGTTCTTTATATATTCTGGATATTAATCCCTTATCAGATACATGATAAATATTTTCTCCCATTCTGTGGGTTGCCCTTTTACTCTGTTGATAGTGTGCCCTTTTGTGCACAAAGTTGTTTTTTTTGTTTTTCTTTTTCAAAAGTTTAATTTAAGTTCAGTTTATCTATTTTTGTTGTTGTTGCCTGTGCCTTTGATGTCATATCCAAGAAATCATTGCCAAATCCAATATCATGAAGCATTAGTCCTGTGTTTTCTTCTAAGAGTTTTATAGTTTTAGCTCTTATATTTAGGTCATTGATCCATTTTGAGTTAATTTTTGTATATGATGTTAGGTAAGGGTTAAATTTCATTCTTTTCCATGTGGATATCCAGTTTTGCCAGCATCAGTGTGGAAAAGACTGACTTTCCCCATTTGAATCGTCTTGACACTTGCCAAAAATCATCTCACCAATCATTTGACCCAGGTTTATATCTGGGCTCTATTCTATTCCATTGGTCTGTATGTTTGTCTTTAAGCCAGGATGACAAAGTGGTGATTATTGTAGCTTTGTATAAGTTTTGACATCAGGAAGTGTGAGTCCTCCAGTTTTATTTTTCTTTTTCAAGATTGTTTTGGCTATTCAGGGTTCCTTTAAATTGCATATGAATTTTAAGATGGTCCTTTCTATTTCTGCAAAAAACTCCATTGGGCTTTGGTAGAGATTACATTGAATCTGTAGATTGCTTTGGGTTAGTACTGACATCTTTTTTTGCGTGGGGGGTGGCTGTGTTGGGTCTCGTTGCTGTGCACAGGCTTTCTCTAGTTGTGGTGAGCGGGGGCTACTCTTCGTTGTGGTGCATGGGCTTCTCATTGCGGAGGCTTCTCTTGTTGCAGAGCACGGGCTCTAGGCTCACAGGCTTCAGTAGCTGTGGCACACGGGCTCAGTAGTTTTTTTTAAATGGAACTTTTACAATTTAAAAAAATTAGTTAATTAATTTGGCTGCATCGGGTCTTAGTTGCAGCAAGTGGGCTCTTCGCTGTGGTGTGCGGTCTTCTGCCTAGTTGTGCGGGCTTAGTAGTCACGGTACATGGGCTTAGTTGCCCTGCAGCATATGGGATCTTAGGTCCCTGACCAGGGATCAAACCCGCATCCTCTGCATTGGGAGGCAGATTCTTAACCACTGGACCACCAGGGAAGTCCTTATTCTGTTAATGTGGTATATTACATCAGTCAGTTTTTGTATGTTGATCAGTCCTTGAACTCCAGGAGTAAATCCCACTTGGTCATGGTGTATAATCCTTTTAATATGAGTTTAAGTCTTACCTCCTCTTTAATTTTGGGGGGAAGAATTTGAGAAGGATTGGAGCTAATTCTTCCTTAAGTGTTTAGTAGAATTCACCAGTGAAGCTATCAGGTCCGGGGGTTTTCTTTGTTGGGAGACTTTTTATTATTGATTCACTCTCCTTACTAGATATATGTCTGTTTACATTTTTTACTTGTTTGTGATGTAGCCTTGGAAGGTTTTGTGTTTCTAGGAATTTGTCCATTTCATCAAGGTTATTCAATTTGTTGGTATACAGTTGTTCATAGTTCTCTTTTATAATCCTTTCTAGTTCTATACTGTCAGTAGTAACATCCCCTCTTTCATTTCTGATTTTAGTAATTTGAGTCTTCTTTTTCTTAGTTCTTCTAGCTTTGTTGATTTTGCTGATCTTTTTAAAGAAGGAGTTATTGGTTTCATTGATTTTTCTCTTTTGTTTTTTAGTCTTTATTTTGTTTATCTCTGCACTAATCTTTATTATTTCCTTCCTTCTGCTAGTTTTGGTTTAGTTTGTTCTCTTTTCTGTTTCTTTAATTGGTTTCTGGTTTGTATGATTTCTTAACCTGATTCTAGATTTAACACAATTATGATTGGGTATGTTTTTGGAAAAGGACAGTAACATGTAACCCTAAAGTAATGTATTTGGCTTTAGAGGTATTACTGATAAAACTCTAATTTTGGAGATAACAGACATCTTTCTAAAGTTTTTGTAGCTTCATATTAAAACCTTATAAAGTAAATTGACTAATATAATCTATGGATAACCTAGAATGCATTTATTTGCTTCTTTCCAGGATAACCTAGAATTAGATTTATCATGCAAGCATTTTGTATCAAAGAGAAATATTACCTTTAATGCTGTCAACATAAAATCTTTAGGTTAGCACCTTAAGTCAGTCTCTTTATTTCATAACTGAAAGAACTGAGAAACAAAGAAATTGGGTAATCTTGTCCCAAATCATGCAGAGTTAGATAGTTAGATAGCAGATGTTGGAGTCCTGGGCACACCACAATCAATTGTGTAGGTTGTGCAACAGTACGTGGTAGCCCTTTTTAAGTCTAGGTCTTCTTTTTTCAGCTGAGTGTTTTTGCCACTAATGTTACCCTGACTCTTATTTAAACCAAATTTTAAAAATAAGAATATTTGTTAGAAAAATCATAGAAAAAATTTTGACACTAAACATGAAATATTTTACATATGCCAATAATTTTTTACTAACAGTTGCAAAATCTATTTAATGTAAATTTTCTGTTGATAGCACAAATTTTCAAAATAAACATGTTTCAAAGGATATTACTTAGCAAATATATTCTTTTGTTGATAAAACAGTGCTGGATTCCAAAAACGTATCCGACATATTTGGTCATAGATCAGTCCAAGAGCCATTTTTCTTCTACATCTGAAAGCACTTAGATATCATAGCTATATGTATATCTACGAAGCATACATCAAATTCAAAGAAATCAGAGCAATCTGAGTCTTTAAGACAGGTTTAATGACAAGAAAATTACCTAGAAGTACAAATGTTTTTTGAGATGTGATTAAGTAAAGCACATTTTTGCCTGTGTTACTTCCAATTGTATATTACTGCATAACAAATCACTCAAAACATAGTGGCTTCATACAACGGCCATGCATTATTTTTTATGATTCTGTGGGTGGATTGGATGGTTATTCTCTTTCTTTTCTTTTCTTTTTTTAATTTATTTATTCATTTATTTCTTTTTGGCTATGTTGGGTCTTTGTTGCTGTGTATGGGCTATCTCTAGTTGCAGGGTGAGTCGGGGCTACTCTTTGTGCAGTGCTGGGGCTTCTCATCACAGTGGCTTCTCTTGTTGCAGAGCAGGGCTCTAGGCGTGCAGGCCTCAGCAGTTCTGGCTTGCGGGCTGTAGAGCGCAAGCTAAGTAGTTGTGGTTCATGGGCTTAGTTGCTCTGCGGCATGTGGGATCCTCCTGGACCAGGGCTCAAACCCGTGTCCCCTGCATTGGCAGGCGGATTCCCAACCACTGTGCCACCAGGGAAGTCCCCGCATTTTTTAAATTAATTTTTATTGGAATATATGTTATTCTCTTTCAATGTGTTGTTTACTTTTAAACGTTTGAATGTTTGAAAATTTTCCTGTTGTCTGTTAATGATTTCTACTTTGATTACATTCTGATC